TTCATGCAGACATAAGGTATCAAGTTTTACATGCAGAAACTGTACATGCACTGTATTTATGATCATAATGACATGATAAGGTACTATAGGTCTCTCAGCTTTGAAGAGGTAGAGTCTAAATCCAGTGTGAGACTCCTTAGTTTGTATGATAACTCCAAAGTAGCACTGATCCTCTGGATCATGAGTAACATAAGTAACCTTATCCACTGGGACCCGAGTTACAGACTATAGTTATTAATAGTTATTAAGGTGCATTAATAGTTATAAATATTTTAGTGGTGGCCAATACTGGCCAAAATGGATTCGATCCAATACTGATTGATATCAGCCCATATCGAGAGCATCAATACAGTTTCAATACAATACTAGACCATACTTATGGAGTCACACACCTTATTATTGACTGTTTTCATCAATTTTTTACGCACATGTATCCACATGTGTGTAACTACATCACTAACTTATTAAAATTTTCTTTATTAATATTATTTAATCTCAATAAGTGGGCATGGTCAACACATCAATACAAATTTATTTAAAAGTTTAATACCGATACAAATCAATACCGTAAAGTATCGTTTGTATCAATAAAATATTGATATATCGCCCAACACTAAAACATTTGAGGCCATGCTTGTACATGTAGATGTACCTTTTATGTCTCGTCATAAAGTGATACTCCTTTCATGTTTAGACCTAAAACTGTTTTCAGCTTGTCAGCTCTCATATTCTTACTAGCTGTCTATGAAAGAAGAGAAGCAAAACAATGAGCAACAACAACAGCAATGACTGATTCATGAAAGTTTTACTCGATAGATATTAAATCACTCCCTCCCCTCTCTCTCTTTCCTTACCCTCAAAGTAGGTAGGCAGTATCTAGCGGCAGCTCCAGCATCACCACGTCTCCTGATAACATTCTCTGATCCAACATACTGCAAGTTGAATGATTTAAAATTTAGTGTATGATGCAATAAATGCATTTTAAAATACCTTAACTCTAAATTGGAGTCTATCAGTGTGCCACGGTCGAGAATATTTGCCTTGTGTACTAGCCTCCTGCCCATACAGTGGAGTGTCCCCTCCTCTTCACTGGTTGATAGTCTATAGATAACAAGAGGTATCAGTAACTGACTGATACACTAATAGTAACAACACGAGTCATAATCAAGTAAAAACAAAATACTGACCTGGTGCTTTGGCTGCCATTTTATTTGGAGGTACCGTAAGTAGGTAACGCCCTTCTAATTCTATGACGTCATAAAATTTCTTTTTGGTTAAAAAATTTTAAATTAAAAAAATAGCAAAGTATACCCTATCAAAAAATTGCAGCAACAACAACAACAACAACAATAATAATAAATATAATAATAATATCTCAATAACTAATAGATAGTGTCATTTAGTTCAGTTATAATATCATTCATTGTTGGACGGTGTCTATACTCAACTATCAGGCAGCGTTGAACAAGAGACCTAAATGAGGCTCTTCTAATACCATCAATAAGACCTACTCTCTCTTCTGGTAGAGGAATACGTCGTGTTATCATCTCTAGAAGGAGGACACCATAACTGAAGACATCCATTGAAGGAGAGTGTTCCATTGGATTGGCTGCTTCAGGTGCTGCATAAAGTGGGCCACCAGGATTGATTGACCTAATTATAAGATGCTGAAGATTAGCTGATCCATAATCAGATACCTTAGCCCTCAAACCTCCATGCGCTCCTCCCATTGGTTGAAGGAGTACATTAGCACTGCTGACATCTCTATGTAGTATAGGATGAGGCTTGAAGAGATGAAGGTAATTGAGAGCACAGGCTACATCTAAACTGATGTTTAGTACAGTATGATAGGCCAGTCCTCCAGTCTCTAATTCCTTTCTTAGGCTGGTTGGCATTAGCTCTGTCAGGATGATTGGATTACCCTCTGTAGTGGCTCCTATGAACTGAAGGAGGTTAGGATGACGTATTTTAGAAGCAATATTCATTTCACGAGAGAATAGTGACATGTTATATTCTGATATGATGGTCTCGTGAAGTACCTTTGCAGCAACT